AAATGTTCCTTTGAGGTCTGTTCGTCTTTATCAGATGTGTAACACTGATGATGTTGATGATGATGTTGTTTTTCAGGTATCCAGAGTGGGACCCTGGTATGGGCCCAGGCAGAGGGTAAGAGATGCTAACAATAAGCTCCTCCTTTAGTGTTTGAGATGTTAGATTTAGAGTCCTAAAGGACCTCGACGTAACCTCGGAAAAGTGTTATTACTGACAGCCATGCCCAAACAGATTGTCCTGCACTGTTTTGTCTTTCTGTTGTTTGCATTGTATGTCATGTATGGTGCACAGCAGACGAGGGAGCAGCAAGCATACTGTACACCTGACAGGCAACTTTCTGTTTGGTCAGATGGGCTTCATTAGATTAGATAAAGATTCAGAAACTCTCCTGCCTCCAGAGGGTTCACACACTGTCTCTGTGGCTTGGTGTTAACAAAGCTTTGTGTTGTGTGTTAATAATCCAGGTGTCTGATAACTGACGATCACATGTTTTTAATTCCAGTGGTCGTCCCTGGGAGACCCCCAACCTGTCTGCAGGACTGCTGGGACCAGCCCCCATGTCTTCAGGACCAATGGCAGGGATGTCCTCGAGCTGGGGTGGAGGTGAGGGACCCACAGATGTCTTATTTTATCACTATTAATACTATTAGTATTATTTTAAGTCATTTGTCACGTTCTCTCTGTGCGGGGAGTCACTATTTTATTCATAAAGATGGTTTCAGACAGCTGACGTCAAGTCTTTAACTTCCAACTGATCAAGTCTGGTTCTCCTGTGAGCTCCGTGTTACATTTATGTGCCACGCTTGCTGACTTTGGGATAAAAATGGTTAAAAGGCTCAGGTACAGTAAATACAGAGAGCCATTAAAAAGAGTGGGTGAGGGTTAAGAGACCCGGCTGTTTAGTGCCCTCAGAAAGCTGCAGACACTTTTTGAAATCTGTCTTTTCTCATGTGCGAACATCGGTGTGTTTGTGTGTCCGGAGTAGGTGGAGGACGTGGTTCCGGTCCATTGGGACAGAATAAGGTGAGTCTGACCTCCTCTGTCTCTCTGCTGTGTCTTCCTGTGGATCAGCTCATTTCTGCAGAGCTCAGCTGGTTTCAGTAAAGACTGTGTGTCGTGTCCTCAGCTGAGGAGCAGGGTGGTGGTGGTGAAATATGACAGGAAGCCTCTCAGCGACAAGACCCTGTTCGCCCTCGTTGAGCGCTTCGGCTGCCTGAGGGAGCATCTCATCCTCAAGAACAAGGTAGGAAAACTCACCTCGCTGTTTCCACCTCAGTTACTTTACTGACTTAGATGTAGACATTAGTTAAACTTTCTTTGTCATAAATGTAACTGAACAATACAATCAGCTGCCTCACACTCTTTCGTCCTGCACATGAACTCCATCTCCTCAATCTGAAGCTGCAGCTGGCAGTCCTCATTCTCCTTCGCAGCCTCGCTGAGCTGAACCCACTCACAGAGGATCTCCACACCAGGAGGAGGACTGCTGGCACCAGCTGCAGTCCAAGATGGTAGAAATGGAGTCAGACTGAGCTTGTGATAAGAGACTATAGATAGCTGGGGATTAAAGAAGTCTAAATATAATCCAGTAATAACAACATTAAATACGTGGTTGTGAAACTTAAAGCAAACCTCTCTGAGGAAAACTGAATTTCAGCATTGAAGTCTAATCTTTGTGACCATCAGGCTTTTCTGGAGATGAGCACACATGAAGAAGCTCTGGACGTGGTGAACTACTACCAGCAGCATCCACCGTCGTCGTACGGCAAACCCGTCACCTTCTACCTGTCCCAGACCCTCATGTTCATTGAGGTAACATCCCCTCGCTTGCTAAATAAAACTCACCGCTTCCCCACAGACTCAGATCCTTAGAAGTTTCTGTTTCTAACCTGCAGAAAGACGAGCAACCAATGGATCGACTGACAAAGCGGCCGGTGGACCGACCAGGGGACCAACCGATGACCCGGCGGGTGGAGCGGCCGATAGACAAACCTGAGAAAGAGGTCAAAAGTCAAGGCAGCAAGGTGGTCTTCTTCTACCATCTGCCCCGAGAGGACGAGAAGAAACAGGAGCTGCTGACCCTCGCCGAACGCTTCGGTGTGGTTGAGAAACACCTCTTCTTAACCGACCGGGTAAATAAACCAGAGCAGGAAACTCCAAAAGTTGATTTTGTTCATCTGGACGTAGCGTTTTGAGGGAGAAACATTTGGTCACTCATCCAAGTGACTTCTTCAGTCTCAGCTGACTGCAGGTTTCCCCAGCCTTATAAACAACCTTATACATCAGGGAAACCAAACAACCTCTGGCGAAGCGGATGGCACATCACAGAAGAGCTGCCTTGTCAGGCCAGGACTCTGCAGTCTATTTAAACCTACGGGCCAGTGGACACTCTTTCAATGATGGGGATGTGTACATCCTGGACAGGGAGGAACGCTGGTTTGAGCGTGGAGTCAAGGAGGCCATTTACGTGAAAAGGGAAAAAACATCTCTGAATCGAGGAGGGGGCCTAAGGGTACATCTTTCACCATCTTACAATGCTGTAATTGCAGCCATTCCCCAACTCTCTGTGAATGGTACTCATGGCCATTGATCAGTGGTCTTTGATCAGTGAGCTTTGATCAGTTGTTGTTGATCAATGGTCATGAGAATTTGCATATTTAAGATTAAGGAACTGACTTCCCAGCCCATTGTTCCTTCAGTGGGCTGGTTTCAGTCATTATGCAAATGTACTTTTTATAAGATTGGGGAAACCTGCAGTCAGCTGAAACTGAAGAAGTCACTTGGATGAGTGACGAAACGTTTCTCCCACAAAACACTACGTCCAGATGAACAGAATCAACTTTTGGAGATTTACTTACCTGGATGATTGAGCGTGCATCAAGACAGAGCAAGAAACACTGCTGCTCTTTGAGTGCTCATGTGATGCCAGCATTACTACAGAAAGTGTGGAGATCAGATTTGGCTGAGTATAGTCTGTGATAAGGTGAAATAAGTTTGAATGATGGCTGCTTTTGTGTTCGTCTGTGTGTCCAGGCGTTTATTCAGCTGGCAACTGTGGAGGACGCAGAGATGCTGGTGAAGCATTACACCCAGAACCCCCTCGTCTTCAATGGGAGAATAGTCCGTCTCAACATCTGCACCAAATACAAAACCCTCAAGTGAGTACCCGGCTTCAGACACTGCTACCATGACATGGTGTAGGAACTGTAAACACATACATGAATGAGATGCAGTGAAAGGGACAGATACACCCTTTGACTGGAGGTTGTGGGAAACAAATGAAATAAAAGACAGTTACGTGACCTGGTGACTGGAGGTTTATTCTACTGAAAGAACTAAAAGTGAATGAAACTATTAACCATTGGAGGTCATTTTACATAAGACATGTTTATAAACTCTTTCATAAGCTCCCTCAAGACCACTCAGTTATTATTTTGGACAAACACTTTAGCGTATTTAATGAAAGTGTGAATATTATGAATATTGTCAGAATTAGATGCCCTTTTATTGAAACAGACGGAATTGAAGCTAGAGGATGAGCCTGGTATCTGTCATATGCTCTAAATCAGAGATGTCAAACTCATTTTTAATCTCAGGCCACATACAGCCTACTTACATGAGCCATAAAAAACTCTCCTTTCTGCTGGTGTACAGAACCATAACTATGTATCTAATCCATGAGATATTTTAATATAAGAAAAATGGACGGGTATGGGGAGCATCTGTATCAGTAGTTAAAGCTGCAAACTTATGAAAAGACACTCAAAGATCTTCCTCCAGATGTTCCAAAGCCATCCAGTGGGCCAGATTGGAGTGTTTGCCAGGCTGATTCTGGCCCCCAGGCCATATGTTTGACACCCCTGCTCTGAAAATGTACCCAGAATGCATTTTTTCAAGTTCTGCCAAGTCAATTATAAGAAAACATGCAGAGTACCAATGGTTGTTCCTGTTCCTCCGTGTCACAGACTTTAAACTGGTGCAGTACAGCTGATCCATGATATTTCAGCTTTTGTAGATCATAGCAGATGTCATGTTGAAAACAGCAGGGTGTCAGCAGAAGTAGCTCCAGATTAGCCAGTGAGCAAACCCGACTCTTTATTAAAAGTTAGAAATTGAACATCATCTCTGACCTCGTTATGAGAGGTGGTGTTAGCTGGCTAACTGCTAACACAGTGTATATATGTCAGAATACACATGGAAGCTTAAACTCATACACACTCGTTCATACAGTGTGAAGCACAAACAGGGCGGAGGAGACGGTTCGAGCCAGAAGAATAGCAGAGCCGAGTCCTCCAACTCCAAAACCTCCTCATCCAGCTCCAGGAGCAGACAGGAAAATAAGGAAGAGAAGGAGAAGGACAAAGTGAAGATGGTAACAGAGGAGGAGGACGAGGATGAGGAAGTGTCAGGAGTGATGGAAGGAAGGGAGGACGGAGAAGAGCAGCAGGCACCTGATGGCGAGGAGGAGCAGGAGCAGGCACCTGATGGCGAGGAGGAGCAGGAGCAGGCACCTGATGGCGAGGAGGAGCAGGAGCAG